CAGTAACAAGTAACTTCAGGATGCGGCTGTGCTGTCAGATCTGAATAGGAAGGCTGAAACACACCTGACACTGTGCAGCTAAACAGCTTGTTCTCTCTTCTTCTTCCAGGTGAAGAAGATTGCAGCAGAATATTATGATAACCTCCCACATCACCAGTCCTGGATTCGAGTTCTGTGGGACTTTGTTTTTGATGACACTATTGGCCCTTATTCAAGGGTTAAGAGAGTATGCAAGCTGGCAAAAGCAAGCTAAAGGACTAGCTCCGGCTGCTGCCCTGGGGCTTGGTTTGTTTGAATGAGCTGAGTCTGCTGTAGAAGCAGAAGGATGTTTGTGTGTGCTGAAGCAGCGTTGCTGTGTGCTCCTTAGACCAAGAGGGTGAGTGTCAAAATGAAGCTGTTGGATGCACTATTTTAGACTACTGATGGATTTTAATACAGGATAGTTGTGTATGTAACCCTGAGAAACTAGATTAGAGTGAGCTATGATTATGTGAACCTTTGGCCTTGGCTTAGAATTAACTACCTGGCCCATGTTTGCCCAAGCCTGGTCTGCGATGGAGAGTGCTTGGTATGTGGATGTGTGAGCATGTGTGTGTGGTTTAGGACTCATTACTCTTTGTGCCAGATTAATGTAGATGCTCTGCGTGCACAGGACCATTGAAGCAGGGAGGACTGGCACACAGTAGTAAATGATACTTTCTGGAGAACACAAGGGTGCCTTTAGCTCAATGCCTTGTCTAATCTAATATTTTCCGATAATGGCTGGCAACAGAGATTTTGTATATGCAATGAAATATGTGTATATTTTTATACATTTTGATCATTATTTTAGTAGCTGCTGTTTGATCTTTATTACAAGACTTTGTCTAAACCTTTTCTGAATCCATTTCTGTTGTTCGGATCTAATACTCCGTGTAGTTAAATGACAGAGCTGAGCTGTGACATGGAGAAAACCCACCTTAGTCTTCTGCTTGCTGTCTGATCAGCAGCATGGATGTGCCTGTGGAGAAACTGGGTGGTCCTTTCTCACTCACCTTTTCAAGAGTATTCATAACTTCATGTTTCTCATACTTTTCTCCACTGTAAGTTCTTCTGAGGATGGGAAGGTTCTAGCTTTAACTGCTGCTTACCAAGGTTGTTAATATTCCTGATCATCTTTCTTGGTCTTCTCTATATATTATACCCCTTTCTGTGAATAAGAGTTGGGAGAATGTGATGGTGAAGACAAGCAGACATTATGGTGCTATATGTTCCTAGCTGCTTTCAGAATAATTGTAACTTTTTCCCTCTGTCGTTCAAGGGGCACCGACTTGACATTTGGGAAGCGTGGGATACTCCAACTATATTACAGCAGTCATTGATGGTGTTAAGGGGATGGGTATGAAGGGAATACAGAGGTGGGGTTGTTTCTCTCTCTACATGTCTTTTTTTTGTGCTATTGATATTAACCTTCATCTGCCATTTCTACACACTTGAATAGTTAAATCTTCCTGCCTGTCCTCTCCAACTATCAACTTCTGGCTGTCCTCAGTAATTCTGTATCATCAAAAGCCTTAATCACCATGCCTTTCTCCAGGCAGAACAGTATCTTGGGAGTCAGGAGCTCAGATGCCATCTTGCAACTTCCCTCCACCCTGGAAAGCTGATAACTTATTTCTGTCCTTACTAAGTGGTTGAAAGAGAATAGATCTGTAAAGGTCCTCCTGTACCCTAACCCTCTATCAGTAGGATTTTTTGGTGTTCTTCTGGAAATCTATGCCTGTAACAAAGAAAAGAATTATTCTGCCTTCCTTTGGTCCTTCAAAGTGTGCTATTAGACCTGGGAAACCTGATTTCCTCGATAAACAGTTTCATTCCTTCCTCCTGCAGCAGTAGATTCAGTGAGTCAGTCTGCCCTTTTGCTGGCCTGGCATACCAGGCAGCCAGGCTAGCCTGATGCATTTTGAGTTCCTCCTCCATTTCCCTTTCCTCCATTTTCCTCATCTGTCTGATTTTGGCAGTTGGGTAAATACCCAGGTGTTCTCAGCAGTGCAAGAACCTTTGTGATGCAGGGGCTGAATACCAGTTCATTCACAGATGTTTTTGTATGGTTCTTTTTCTGGAAAAGAAGAGGATCGGGACTGCTTCTGACACTTCAGACTTCACTGGTTCCTTAGGTGCCTGTTCTCCCAAAGGGAGAGGCTTTGGTGTGGGAACCTCCTTTGAGTTCTTTGTGTTGGTGCTCATGTCAGGAGCTTCACTTTTTTATTAATTTATTCAGTGTTGCTAGCACTCCGTGATCACATATTCAACTTCCCCTGTCGTTAGCAAGCTTGGCAAACTTAGCAAGTTAATATGAAAACTATAATAAAGATTATGCTGTCTTTCTCAGTCTGACTATTGTTCTTCCTCTCTGTGAAGAGTGGCCTTTCTCTTGGCTGTTCCATCATGCAGCCAGATATGGGGTCTACAGGTTACTAGCCTAGCCTGACACAGAGGCTATGGTGTAAACAGAGGGTAACCAACATTGGCAGCCGCTTCTTATCCTGCCTCCCATCAGTATTTCCATCACTGTCCCATCTTGCTTTGCCTGGGCAACCACACAGCCCTCCTCCTCTGCACTCTCCATCTCAGTGGGAATCTGAAGTGCCTGGAACCATGGTGCCTGCAGCTGTGTGGCGCAAGCTGAATTTCAATGTGTGTGGGTGCTGCCGGAGAATGTTGTGATCCTGTCCTCTCCATGGACACTTGCCCTTGCCCCCACCAGTGAAGTTGGCAGAAGTAGTCTGGGTTAAAAGAACACTGGTGCTATGTATAGTTTTATTCTCTTTGCTTAAAAATTAATCCAGGTCCCTTTTATTGTATGGCCACACTAATGCTCTGGCAAGAGGAGGCAGGAGAGACAAATAGCTGTATGACAAGCGGGAGGGGAGGTTAATGCCCCTTTTGATTTCTGCTGATGTAAAATGCCAGTGGGCTGCCCTGTTGCAGCGGTACCTGCAACAAGCCCAGCACGAAGGGACACCCTTCTCTGCAGAGGCAACAGGCAAGCTGAATCAGTGTCTAGGAGGGGGAAATCCTCTGGCAGTGCCACTACTACAGATAAGCTGTCCTGTGCATCACTGTTGCCAGAACCACAGGCTGGGAACCAGCAAAGCACTGGTGATGCTGCGACTGCTCCCCTGCCCTTATCAGCCAAGCTTCCCCTTCCATCCCCATGCACCTGATTGCTCCCACAGCTATCAGGCAGCCAGCCCTGCACAAACTTCAGCTCATTATGTCTTAATTATCCAAGGCCTATAAAGGTAGAAGAAGAAAGTAAGAAAAACTCGTTTACAGCAGGTGGCTGATGTTAACAGAGGGGCACACCGTATCCAGGCTGTACTTGCGGCCTGAATTACAATGCAGTTATTACTGACCTGAGGCATAATGCTACATTCCAAGGGAAAACGTGAACCGTGCCAGGCCCCAACTTCCTGAAGCTTAATTAAGATCATGGGAGAGTTTCACAGAATGCTTGTGATCAGCTGAGAGGCAGCAGTTTTGAAAAGTACTTGTGTTGTCAGGTATGCCATTACGTGGGTTTATGATTAAAAAAACACATGAGCTACTATAGGAGGTTTGTGCAACAGGGCATTATAATCTTTGCTGTTACTGGTGCCTGTCTGTGTTTTTCCTGTGGAAAGGCCCCTTTTCCTGGTCCTGGCGTTGTTGCATTGTGTTGCATATCAATGTCTGCCTGCTTCAGTTCCCACGTGGAAAACTTATGCCACTGTCTAACCTGTCTCTCACCTTCTGCTGGCATTAAACAGCTATTAGACTCAGTCTGGACCTCACCATTGCATTAAATTCAAATTTCTCCCATTTTTTCCCATCTTTAATCTATAGTATAACCTCATTGAAAATGAGACTATTTTTAAAAGGCAGATGGGGTTGCTTTGAAGAGTGCTGAAGGACAACCCCATGTTCTCCAAGCCAAAGCAGAAAACATTTTACAGCTAACTGTGAAGCACTCCCCACTCTGCCTCCTCTCCTAGGTCTGCTGCTGCTGGCAGGCAGTCCCTCCTGCCTGCTGCCGTGCTCTGCGGGGCTGGGGGGATGGGAGGAAGGGGACAGCCACAGCCTCTCCTGGGCTGCTGCACCAGGCTCTGCTCCCAAAACCATTCCTGGGGCCTGACTTTTAATTTTAAATCTTCTGGAAAGCCTGAAGCAAAACAGGGAGGATTGGAAAATGTTTGACCGATTTCAGTAGCTGAATTCCAGTCTCTTGACTTTTGCACAAAGTTATCAAGAAGATGGTATCAGCTACTGCCATGTAGAACTTGTGCCAAACTAAGTCAAGCAAAAATTCCTGAGATCCTTCTGGTGGAAAGAATGGTTCTAAATAAAAAAAATGATATGACCTGAATGACATGACTGGGTGTGCGCTGTTAAGTGTTCAGTGTCGTGTACTCATACCTTTGCCTTCACTTTCTGTGAAACAGAGCTCAAGACCTGCATAACATTAACAAATCAAATATGTGAGATATTAACAAATGACTCCCCTTAAGCATCTAGTTCTGCAGTGCTGTGCCAGGGATTTCAGCTTGCACCCTCCTAATTCCTTCGGTGGCTTTGTTCTGCATAAATACCTGCCTTTTATTTACTGGAAGCCCTTACGAGTGCAGATGATGGGACCTGACTTTTTCAGTGATGGCAGGAGGTGCAGCGGGACAGTCAGTGGTGGCCTGAGAGGAGCCGTAAGCCACTGTCCTTCACTGACTTTGGCACAAGGCTGCTGAGTTACTGCAGGAGGTGGTGGTCAGCTGGCGACGCGAGGAGGGCTGGGCAGGTGAGTCTTGTCTTGCTGTAAGAAGAGGCAGGGCTGCTGCTGTCGCACCAGCCCCAGCACACTCAGGCTGTCTCCTCATGCTCTGCGTGTCACCCCAGGGCGAGTCTCAGGCACCTTCCTCTCACCCTCAACCCACGCGATACGGAAGTGCGGGGGTGCAAGGGACAAATGAAAACAATGAAAGGCAGGGCCATGTGGACAATAAACAGTTTATTACCAATATGAACACAGATACTGTGATGCACTGACGTACCATTTTTTTTTAATATTGTGATAACTCTGAGACAAAGAACTTGTTGGCTGACAACTAACATGTCTCTCTTTCTTCTGGTGATGCCACAATACATTTCTGTTGGCAAAGGATCTTCATTTACATTGCAGACTACTAGTAAAATTACTTTGAAGTCATCTATCAAAAGCAAATGGTTCACGTGTGTTCTTATCTACTACTAAAAAGAAAGGTAATACATTTAAATAAGCAAATACAAAATACAAAAAAGGCTGACAAATCCAATGTGCAGTGTCAGATGAAATCTAAAAAATCCAGAATTTTAAAATTTAATATTCTTTAGATTAAGACTTTTAAAATGAAGCGAATCCAAGGCAGCAGCAAGCTTCAAAGTGTGCTGAGTCTGCTAATAAAAAGGGTATAAGAACAAAAACAGTGCCGGTGTCCTCTCTCACCATCTTGCATGACCTTGGTACACTTAGAAATGATCCGATCTTCCTAGCATTCTTAGTACCGTCCAAATGCTTTGCAATCATTATGTTGTACTGATTCTACTCAACTCCTGCCGTATGGCTAGAAAACCAAACCAAAAAGTTAATGCATAATGTTATACCCAGTGTGATGGAAAATGCTAAGTATAGAGGTTGCAGAAAGTACACGCTGGTAGAAAGATGAGTGGAGGGTAAAAGGATGAGTAAGGGTAAGCAGTCAGCTGTTTGCTTGCAAACTGCAGTACTGGTTGAAGAAGTTGCATCTGTGGTTCATGTGAATGTCTTATTTTGCACTGGAATGAGCTAGGGAGGCTCTGAGGGCCAAGCTGCAGGGACGGTAGCATACGGGCAAGGGTCTCCTCAACTGCAAATTGCCCCGAGGTTTTGTGAGCAGATGGATCTAGGGCAAGGGGGCAGGGAATGGCTTTTAGCTGTTTTACAGTCTCCTCTTTTTCCCCTGCTGCGTGAATCTAAGATGGGGAGTGCAGGGTGTGGACATGCATCCTCATACGCCCTAGTGCGGGCTTCAAACAGGTATTTTGCTGTGCATTTCAATAATGGCCCTGAAAAATACATTTAGTCATATATTGCAGAGCAATTTATAAAAAAAGGGCTGATACATTTAGTACAGCTGTTGCACTTTTCAATGAGTTATAAACATACGTGGCTATTTGGAAAGATCTAATTGAGTGAAGGTCTGAAATAGCTCTCCAAGCACAGGAAGCCTACAGAAGATGCTCGGGAAGGCTTTTCAGTTTGGTACCTTTGTCCCCTCCTCAGCCCAGACCTGCGTGGCTGGCTAGTTACAAGCGATTTCACGCTCCCTGATTGTGATAAATTGACATGCCACAGGCTACGGGCAGGCCTTTTCTCACTCTCCCACCTATGCGAAACTCCAGCCAGTGAATTTCTCACAGGTTGGGGGGAAAATACTCATCAACAGCATAAAAATAAAAGATGTAAACACAATGTCATGTTCAGAGCTCAGATAAGGTAGATGCTTGTTCTTCAAATGTGTATGTAAATCAGAGCTGCTCAGAGAAGTCTGAAAGCACCAGGGAACTCTCTGCAGTTCCTATCATCTTATCTATGGGAAATTAGTCATAAAGATGAGAAAAATAATAATTTTTCTCTTTCTTACCATCAATTATCTCCTCTTTCACTTTGTGTAACTCTCTTACAACTTCCTCCAATATTTCCTGATGAGACAAAACACAAGTCAGCTGCTCAGAATTTCCTTCTAACTGGTGGAAGAAAATGCAAGTTTAACACAGTTGTGCTTGTCCCCCGCCTCCGCTGACGAGCAGAGCCTAGCACTACTAACAGCTACGTCTGCACTCCCAGGCCAAGGACGCAGAAGATGCTGGCATATTTATTTGCACGTTTCTGTACAGACATCTTGATCAAATAGCAGTGAGATTGTGCTCTCTTGCTGCTCACCAGCTAGCCCTCCTCTAAGCACCTAGTTATAGAGGAAATCAGAAGACTGAACAGCTGTTTTGCTTGTACAGCGCATGCATGGGGGAAAATGGGTAGCTCATCAAACCTCTTAAGTGCGAAAGACCTTTTCACTCACCTGTTTCATTCGGTCAAAATCTAAGGCATCCATAGCCACATCATTGCTGCTGCTCACTGGCTTCATCCTTGGGAAATGAAAGAAGAGGACAAACAAGCCAGTCAGTTCCTTGCAACGCTAAGCTACACCCACCTGATGGCATGGAGAAAATCCACCCCAGAGCAGGAGCACCCGTGTCCGGCACTGGGCCGGAGGCTCCCTCTTGTGCCACCCTGGAGTGCTGGGCACCGGTTGCACAGCCCGACCCTCATAGGTGCTGCTTTCTCCTACTGCAGACATGTCAGAGGCAGTGCAAAGACTGCACTGAAATGTAATTTACTCTTTTTTTTTTTTTGGTGTTGGGAGTCTCAATCATTTCAGACTAGAAAATGCTGAGATGTCTTCACAGGATAAAGCCTGTTTGACTGTATTTTGGTACAACATTTGCAATTTGTAAGCTAGTTGTCTGGTTCTCTCTCACAGCCTGTTTTCAACCCTGTCTTGGCCACCTGGACTTTAATCGGGTGCTAAAACAATAGCAGAATACAGGTTAGAAGAACATTGTAGGGGAAATAATAACCTAATAATCCTTTCCTTGGAAGGCCTGTGGAGCTTGTTGATAGCACTGAGTAGCACAGGCACTTTTTCTTGACCCAGTGACAAAACCAGTCTGCCCTTAATGGCCAGTACACTTCAGTGTTACCAGACTTCCAGGATAGTATTAGTCAGTGGGCTGAACTCTGATGACAGCTGATAAAATAAATTAAGGAAGCAGAAGCTGCTTGACTTTCTCTTTTAATCAGTAACTCTAAAACATTTCAAAAATTAACTGTGCTATATAATTTGTAGACAAGGCTTCAAATAAGTTTGCCATCATCTTTGGGCTCAAACTGGGTACTGGCAGAGATTCTGCTGCTCCTGAGGGTATGCTTGGTCTTGCAACCCTTTCTGAGGAAAATCTTAACATGTCTCCTACCATCTCACAGCTAAGCTGAGAGTGAAGACAGATACAAATGCCATCAAACTGAACAGCAATGGAAGCAGGTCACTGCTGAGAGATTTTGAAACCTGCCCCCACAGAAGTCATTGGATCAAGGAAAGACTGAACACTACTCCAGGTATTAAACTAGGAAAGGATTTTTGCCTACTGAATTCCTCCTCATCCCAAGGTGGACTGGCATTATAGAAGATAGCTGGTGAAAACTTGATGGCTGCTTTAAACAGCCCACGTTTCATTCCCATTCGCAAGGAGAAGGAATGGTCTTTCCGTATCTATTGGAAACTCTCACATATTTCCTAGAACCAACGTGTTTTCCGGAGCATGGGAGAGACTGTATTTTGCTCGAGTTAACACTGGTGCATCCCTCTGAACGTTTAGGCATGGCATGTTCCAGCACCTTTAACACAGCAGCAAGTATGTGCAGACAGTTGCCATGGGCAACTTTCTGCAGACTATCATCAGCACTGTCGTATACGTAACAGTGTAAAATAGGGACATCTCTTTGCAGTAAATGCTAAACATAGGTGAGTCTGTGCTCTACCTCCTTACTCAGCCCATCCATCCCAGTATTCAGTATTGCAATAACACGGGGTGGTTCTGGACCAGCACAGAAAGGACGATTCTCTTCAGCTGTCCAACATCAAACTTGATCTCAGTCTCTGTGGGTAAGAACATGGGTGCAGCTTGGCTGTTCCGACTGACAGGACTTCTGGAGTCCTACTTTAGGCCTCTTGGCTTTTGACACCTGCCAGCTTTTGTACCCCATATTTCTGAATTCCCTGTTTGTGGCCAGGCCTTTTTATAGCTCAATGTTATTAACTTACTGCACGGAGTTTTTCTCTCCTTTCTTGTGCACCCACTGCAGTTACATGGATGGAGGAATAACTTCCCTTCTCCCAGCTGCAGGCTCTTCAGATCATTTCTGCCTTTGCTTTTGAATTTCTGCAGAGGTCAGACAATGAAAACTTCTATTGGCAGGGTCACCCTGAAGCTGCTGCAAAAGATGCTCCAAAACCTGCCTTTCACACGGCACAGTGTGCTGCCAAGACCGTGCCTCTGACTGATGAGCACGGATGCTTTAAGCACTTGCTTAAGTGTGATTAATGTCTGTGATCATAGAGTAGAATCATTAAGGTTAGAAAAGACCTCTAAGATCATCAAGTCCAACTGTCAACCCAACGCCACCATGTCTACTAAACCATGTCCTGAAGTGCCATATCTACACGTTTTTTGAACACCTGATGCCTGTGCCCACCTGATCAGAGGGCTGTTTCCATGGAACAAGCCTTTGACACGACACACTCTACCTTCACACTTAGTGCAGTGACAGACAAAGAAGGTTGTAATATAATGAGTAGAGAAGACGCAACAGAAGACGAACATTAGTGCCGAACGATGGGATTATCCAAAGGACAAGCCAAGGTAGTTAAGAAGCCGGGCAGTTAGCCAGTACCTAGAAGACACGTGGGATTGTGTGGGGCTCTTAGCTTCACAGCTCTTCACCACTGATGAATTTCTACAGCAATGGAATGAAACGAGACATGAGTTGTGGAAATGCCATGGGGACAGAATGACCATCCTGACTGCCAGCCAGCCATAGGGACACCCTGTGCAGCTCACCTAGAAAGTAATGAAGATACAGGCTTTTCAACAGAATTGCTCCTTTCCCATGGCTTCTTCCCAGAGTCTGGAAAACGAAAATGACAAGTTACTGTTTATTATTTTTTCTCTAACCGTAAGTAAAATCCTGAAGTTGATTGTCTTATACAGCTGCTTTCGTTCAGTGAGGATGAGTGACTTAGAAAGAGCCATCAAAGCAGGAGTGCTGAATGAGTGCAGTTACCTGCATAAGAGAGAAAGCCTTGGCAAAAATCTGTTTAGTGATCCCTTTAATTAGGGACTGGATAGTTAAATGATACTAAAAGGACATGTAACTGGAACAGCAGGAGGAAAAGCACAAATCACTTCTGTTAAGAACTACAGGCTTATCACTGCAAGGCTTATTTTATTCAGTACAACACTTATTTACACTGTAAGTTAAAAAGTCTTAGGTTTTTTGTCTGCATAGTTGGTAGAAAATGTGGATGTATCTAAAAAAAGGCAATGAGAACCCCACTATGCAAATCTCCACAGAGAATTTATTTAATGATGTCTACATTTCTGACTTGCAGAACACTCACAAAAGCTGCACTACATAACCCTTGTTACTGAAAACGCTTACTATCGTCCCAATCTCCTCCTGTGCAAATAGTCTAAAATGAAGTGAACTGTTTCAGAGACCTGAGTAACACATAACTTTATATGCAAGGGCTTCCTCCTGTGAGGTCTTAAAAAACTCTTTACAAGAATTCTGGGCCCTCCCAGGAAATCTCTAGATCTCGTTCCTCATTTATGTGCACCTTTCTCCTGGCTTCCTCCCCTTCCCTTGCAAAACATGCAAATCATGGCTTTGTTCCAACAGGAAGCTGGAATGATTAAATACTCCTTCACTTGGAAGAGATTTCTTTTAACATGTATGAAAGCCAAGGCTGACGCAAGGATGCATCTGACTGGCTTGCAGCTTAGCTACTCAGATACAGTTATTTCAACTCATCATAGGAAAAAACATATTTTGGGGGCTCCTTAATTTCACCTAGTAACTCTCAGGATCAGGCTTACTGCAACAAGCTACTAGGTTAAGGAAGAATAACAGTTTGAGACCCAGACCCCAACTGTATAAACCAGGACAGCTACACTACCAAAAGTAAAATGGTATGTCTTTTTTCTCTTAAGACAATTCAGGTGCACAATGTTGAAGACAAATCCTCAGCTACATGCCTGGACCCCTTTATCTAGATTAGCTGTATTGTCATTTTCTTGGCCATGAAGCATATAAAACCACCGTTTCTTGCTAAGTACAGTTTTTAAGACAAAAGATATTTGGGAATTTTTCTGCTAGTTACTGCTGCCGCAGTCAGAAGTAGGACGATGAATCCAGAGTCTAGAGGTGACAGAGAAGACTAGATTAAGAAGACAACTAAACCACTAGTAGTTCAATACCTGATGAATTTTGCTGCTGCTGGGTGGGACCTCGTGTACTGGGTGAAGGAGAGGTGCTAGCATCATCCTACAAAGAGAAAAACAGGACATGACTTTATTCTGGAGATGAAGCGCCGAGTCCTCTTCTACTCTGGAGACCAGTTGCAGTGCAGGTAATACAAAAGCAAGTTTCCTCCAAGCAAGTTTCCTCTAATCATGTCCAACAGGCACTGCTGCCAAGGTATGGTGCAAGTCCACTTAAACTTTAACCTTTCTCTCCCTTTAGCATAGCAAAATCATTCTTTTCACTTCTCGCTAACATGGACACCTTTTCATGATGCCACTGAATCACTCTCATCCCTGTACACCAAACCAGGCTGAATTGCCACTCTAAAGTGCTGACTGGGGTTGTCTAAATACAAACCATCCTTTTCTCAAATTTAGAAACTCTCTGTGAGATGGAAACTGAGCCACCTGAAGGAACAGTAGATCCCAGACTTTTAGCCCAGGACAGCCACTGCTATCAGTGAGGGAAGTCCGGGTACTAACAGGACGTAACTAAATCAATCAATACTCCTCCTCAGTAGAAGATTAAACACTACATCACAGATCTGGACTCTGTCTTTTCTGGGATTTATGCGTGGCAGATCATAAAACATTAACTCATGTATTTGATAAGTCAATATTATTTAGCAGCCCTCAAAACACACTCAGGCAAAGCATTAATTGTGCATTATAAAATGGAATTGCACCGAGGTTGGCAGAAGATACCTCCCACCACAAAATGTACTCAAGATACACATTAAACGGAGGTTCTCTAAAACATCTTTCTAAACAGTTTGGTGCTATCGAAAAGGTTGGTTGGGGATGCAAACTAATGCAGAGCTTCAGAAAGAGAGAACAAGTGGCAGAAAGACAGCAAAGGCTTCAGCCTAGTTAGAAGCTAAATGAGGCCTTTCATCTCTGAGTGTATGGTTCAAAACTAGCTTTGGAGCAAGATTAAGAGTAATGGTTGCACAGCAGCATCAAAATTTCAATAGGCAAATTCCATGCTTGAAGCATCCCTCGAGGAACATTTAAAAAATGGCTGCTTTTCTCCTTAAGCAGTGCAAGCGTTTTTTCCTGTTCTTGCTACAAAGCTTTCAGACTGGGGTGAGACGTGCATTTTCTGAACGGCGGTCCTGCTGAGCAACTGTTTCCTTGTCTTTGGAGGGAATATCTCTGTATAGGTGATATGAGGCACACACAATGCTTTATGAACTTGCGGCCATGGCAGAGAGCCTTCACAAGGGTACAGGACAGCAACAGGAATGCTGTATAAGCAGCAGCCCAGAAAAGCACCACGTGGGAAGGGAGAGTGTAAATCCTGGCCTCTTCTGAAACTGGAATGATCTCCCACGCTTTATCAGTTCTACAGGTAAAAAGAAGTGTTTTAATCTGCATTTTGAACTCAAAATTGCTGCATCAAGTTCACTGTAAAGACCGCGTCAAATCAAAACTCTCGCTTAATTGCTTTTGTGGATGATATACACAAAGCACAGTTCAAACAGAGATGAATCAAAGCTCCCTAAAGTTGTCCAAATTCTATCTCATTTTAGTGTAAGTATCATGAACACATATTTTAACTTTTGAATGGTCTAATGGTTAATACACTGTTCCCCATTCACTCCCTTAGAGACATGTTTTACGTGCACTCTGGGGTGTGAAGTAAGATGGTTCTTGCACTGCGTGGAGGATGGCAATCCAAAGTTACAGCGCATGGTTGATGATCCACTTCAGCTTAGCTGAAGCTGCAAATTTAAAATAAGTATGAACTTGATCTCAAGCTGCCATGCCAGAAGGTTCAATGCATCTTCTTAAGGGGCAAGAATCTACCATACCCTAACAACTCTCGGATCAGACCACGAGAAAGCGCCTGTTAACCTGGTTTGGACAATACCTCGCCTATGAATAAGGCAGCAATTCTTGTTTAGAGGGTGCTTTTCCCAGGAAAGGTGGAAGCAGTTACATTTAGCTTTGGACTGAATGTGCAGATCTGTTCCTGGATCAGCACTGCTCGTCGTTGCCTGCCACAGACAGTGAATGAGCATAGGACTTTGGCTTACAAGGCTGCATATCACCATGTTTGCAAGAACGCAACAGCGAGGAGTCTTTCACTTACGTTTTGGCTTTCCTCTTCCTTTTTATCAGCTGGCTTGTCTGACTGCGACGCTGCTTTCCTCCTTTGCAAAGGAACAAGAGACAGGACACACAGTCAACCCTCTAGAAACACATCCTCCACGTGGGAAGGCTGATTCAGGCTCTGGTGGGAGTTATTATTTACTTAGCTCATCCTAGGGAACGCGACAAAGGCTGGATGTGTTCGGTTGTGTAGGACTGGGGTGGAGGTGAGGAATCCAGACCTCGGCGGTACGACTCAGGGAGAGGGGCGATATTTTGAGGCAGTGTTTAACAGAGGAACACAGGGAACAGAGCATAAGGAAATGTGTCAAAGCGGAGGCAGGAAGCGCAGCTGGCTATGAAACCGGGTGAGGAAGCGATGGCGTCTTGCTAGGGCTTGGGAAGTGGTGGCTCCTGTGTCCTTCCGACGCAGAAGGAACAAACCAACACCCCAGAGGGGTTTCTGAGGACCAACCCAATCCCCCCAGGTGGCTCTGGTGGGTATTGCAGTGATGACACCATGTTCTCAGCCAGCTCCGGTATCACTTTGCTACCTGTCCTATATCCCCCCCATCCCTGTTGCCACCCACAGAAACGGCTGTGGCAGTGCTCCCATGTGATGGGAAGACAGTCAGAAAAGCCCTTCAATCCAGGTCCATCCTTGCTGGGAAAGATCGGGCACCATTTCTGCTCAGTGAACACCCCTGCTCCCTCCAGGGTGGGCAAGCTCTGGCTGGAGACCAGGAGTCAGGAATCTAGCGCACCAGCCTGGGTTTTCAAGTGCCTTTGGTGAGTGATGGGAGATCAGTGCTGTCTCAAATCCAATTCAAAGGCACCTGAGCCCTGTAGCCCCAGTACTGGAAGTGTTGGTGGTGCCTACAGAAGCTGAGTGAGGATGCGAGACGGTTGCTCTGCCCTGCTTCCCAAGCAGAGGCAAAACTCCCTGAGAAGCAAGTGGCAAAGATCTGCAATCCATCCAGTGGAGCAGCTGGACATGAGAGTAAACAAAGGTGTTGGCTGGTTGTCTTTAAAGAACACATGGTAAAACTTCTTCGGTGCTAGCCACACCGTCCGGAGAATAGAAAACCGAATTATTGATTTTCAAGCCCTATTTAGGGTCTAAACAGCACTCAAGTGTGCTGGGTACTGATTGTCTAGGCATCCAGTTTCCTATTTTAGGGGAACTGCAGATCAAGTCTCCACATGGATTTTGGTTGTGATGATCCTTCTCCACCTGTGAACACTACCCTTAGCAGATGTTTTTTAAAACACCAATATGACAGGTATTTCATTTAGTCTTGCTTCTGAAGCAGACAAAATTCATCTCACAGAAAAAAAATATCCCAAGTGGCATTTATAAAGGCTGCCGAGTTTCAAAACACTGCCACAAGTTTGTGAAAGGATTTTTTTTTCATATCACTGGCAAAAGAAAAGCCTTACTGGATACACAAATTGGAGGATTTGATGTAAATTTGACAAAAAAACAGAGGAGTAAAACACATGCATGTGTTTGTAGGACACAGTGCTCTGTGGGAATTATTTCCAGATACTCAAGTGTATTAATATTTTTATTAGATCAGTAATAATTTTTATAGTCTTTCTCTAATATTTACTTGATTCTTCTTAAGAAAAAAGTTATAATGATTACAAACCTGGGCGAGGGAAATATTTGTCAGGGTGCAGAGACCAGTGTTAGATTATGTCCCACAACAGACTTATCTGGGCTAGAAATGCCAGCGGTTTGTGAGACAGATCATTATTCTGCTTGCACTTCAGTCCTGAAGCAAAGGGCTGCTCTCACCAAGGGCCACTACATCTAGAGAACGATATTTTGTACCGCCTGAGCTCTCAGAAGCATTTTCCTCTGTTACTCACTCAGCATTAGACACATTCCCTGTTTCTGAGCATGTGGTTTTCTGCTCGGAAAAGGGCCCCTGAGATCCCGTGCTCATCATTCAGTGATTTCTGTATTGAACACGGTCAGTTTAAAAAACCCATCTTTTTCACCTCCTGGCTGCCAGTGCAGTAAGAGCAACCTGAAACACAGTGCCAGGTTCTTCCTTTCTCTATGTTGTCACACATAAAAAGGGTTTTGCAGCTGAAAGAATTCCTCTCAGTATCAGTTTAACAGCATGCACCCAGACTGAACCCTTGACTGACACTTGTGTATTTCCATGACTTCCACTGCTTTGAGAAGCAAAATTTAAGAGACAATTCTGTTGCTGTCAACTGCCTGGGAAAGGATTTGCTGCTTGGTTGTTTTCAGAGCAGAGGCAGCATGGAGCTCACGGCAGTGCAGGTGCTTTTGTTCAGATAGCGAGGGGGTTCAACCCTGAATACCTGGAGACACCAGATCCCTCTGCCAGAAGCCACACTGGAGTACACTTTAGACTAGAACCACAGAAATTTGTAGGATTCCTATATCCAAGCACATGCGATGTTCGTTTAGCTTGCTTGCTTGAACAGAGGTAGTTACCCCAGCA